GGGTGACATGCTAGTAATAGAAGAATTGAGAGTAAAATATTCCATTTATTTTTTAATAATTAGATTTGGAATCTTAAATTAGATTTGATCATGTCTTCGAAGAATTGAGAGTGGAATATGTCATTTATTTTTTAATATTTAGAATTGAAATAATATATTATTTTATCATGTGCTGTCACGACCCAAACCCGCCCCTAAGGGTTTAGCATCGTAACCGGCTAGTAATCCGTGATTACCAAAGGCCTACTTAATAGTAATAATAATTATACAATAGGAGGGGCCGACGGAAGCTTGTAAATAATAAAATATAATGTCCAAAGAGCTCTAAGGACTTAAATGCACAAACAACTTCTATATATATTTACCGATACACACATAAGTCCAAGTCCATATCCAAACATATATGTCAACACTTAAATCCAAAGCACGTCTAAGTACAAAATAAAAGACGTATTGGGGAATTAAATCCCAAAGCCAAAACAAATTATGAAACATTCACTTGACTTCATATAGCATTCAAAAAGGTGGATTTAGATCACCCAAAAAGCCTTGACATAACAGTTCGGAACCTCGCGGTGAGGTACAATAGGTTAGCTTGACAAAACGGAATCAAGTCGATGCTGCTAACTTTGCTCTGGTGCTTGACCACCAAGTAAGAAGCAAAAAAATTGAATAGATATAAGTACCGAACTGAATAGGATTGATTGAATAACAGAAGGATATGATTGTAATCTAATTGTGCTTGACTTTGCTTGTTTAGGTCGGACGCTGCTTTTTAGACACATAGTCAGGGAGCCCACTGTGAGTAACAATGTTGTAAAATTATGTTCAATTATAATTATTTTTTGAATGATTAACTGTACTGCTTTCTAAAATGATATTGTTTACAAAATGAATGTTTGTCCCATTTTATGAACTATACTCGGGGCATCCATAGCAACTTACTGTTACTGTTACTGTTACTGCTATTGCTACTGTTACTGTTACTGTTAATCTTGCCATGCATGTATCAATTTCCATCTATATCAACAAATCTTACAACTAAACTTAGAGTTCCTTAAACACTCTTGAATTTCTTATGTTTTGAGTACATTACTTCAAGTTCATAAGGGTAAAGAGAGGAGTTCTTACCTAGAGTAAACAATTTGAGTAGTCTTCAATGTTTTCCCTAGCCCTCTCTTCAATTTCTTCTTCTTCTTCTTCTTCTTCTTCTTCTTCTAATCTTAGTTGAACTCTCAAATGCCTACTCCTCCCTTCTCTCTCTACGTGTGTGTGCAAAGGACTCAACCAAACCTACTATCTTCCCTTTTACCAATTAAATGGATAAATAGATGAGTAGGATTTTAATTAATTCAACTAAAGCTAATAAATCATTTCTAATTAAATTAAAAGGCTCAAGATCACAATATAATCTTAATTCCATCAAATTTTATTTTATTAGTGTGAATTAGGCTCTAATTCCTATCCAATTTCATAATTCTAACTTGTTAAAATTAA